AAACACTTCTCAGCTCATTTCATCAAAGCAGCCTGACCCTGATACTGAACCGTTACAGAGACATCGTAAGAAAAGGAAACTAGCGACCAGTCTCCCTGATGAATATAGACAAAACGTGGCCTTAAAATATGTTAATACGTTGACTTCTGCTTTGACTCGTGGAGGATTAACTGCCAAAGGAATCGCTCTCCTGTTGTAACAGCTGGAAGACTGCACCAGGTTTGTGAAACAGCTGCCTTTGGACCGCGTAGAGCAGGCAATGCGGGACCCTGAGCCCCGCGAGAAGGGGACAAACGGGGTGAGCTTCGCATTCACTCCCGTGTACAGTGGGAGACGGTTTGCAGGCCGCAGCACAGGGAGGGGACCGGGGACTGGAGTCCAGAAAGCAGGAAGGGGGTTCCAGAGGCCGAGACAGAATGCATGGAATAGGACGCTGCAGAGCAGGGAGCTACCAGAGGTAGAGCCCGGGTGTCTGCAGAGGGTCCCTCCCAGTCCTTGGCGGGTGCTGATCTGTCACGGGTGGGGTGACATTCCATGCACCAGGGGAAGAGTCAGTGGAACAACACCTGGAGCCGCCGTGGTGCTGGCCGTGGGGTGTAGCTGGCCATTGCTCTCTGCAGCTCCCTGGGACTGGAAGGTCACTGTCTCGTGGCTGAACGTGGGAGAAACCTTGTGTGAGCTGAGTGTGGGGCAGCGTCTGCAGGAGCCTATGTGGCAGGCACAGGGGGACCTGGGCCAGAGCAGCCCCCCTTCTGTCCCCCTTCACTCTGCTGAGACGGAGGACTTCCTGCCAGCTGGCCAAGCAGAAATACTTCCGGGGCCCAGGTCCATCACCACAGAGGCAATAAATTGCTAACTGGCACAACTGGCATTCAAAAAAAAGAAAAAAAAGAAAAAAAAGAGGCACGTAAGGAGCCGGGAAGATGTGACCCAGGATCAGAAGGAAGGTCAACCATAGAAGGAGACCCACAGATCAGCAACAAAAACATGAGCAGCCCAATCAAAAGCTGGGCGGAGGATTTCAGCGCAAACTTCACAGAAGGGATGGAAGTGGCCGGTGAGCACGTGGAAGTCTGTTCAACTGCAGCATCATTAGTCATCGCGGAACGGCTAGTTAACTCGTAATGAGATGCCATCTAACACTGAGTAGAATGGCTAAATTGAAAGTCCGACAAACACTAAAATTGGACCAGGATGTGGGAGCGGTGAAACTCTCACACGTTAATGGTGGGAGCTGTAAAATGGTACAACCACTTTGAAGGACCATAGGGCAGTTTTTTTTTTTAACATTTTTTAAATTGAGTTACAGTCATTTTACAATGTTGTGTCAAATCATAGGGCAGTTTTTTAATGAAGTTAAGCATGAACTTAGCATGAGCCAGCAGTCCCACGACTTCCTGTTTGCCTAATGGAGATAGAAGCGTAGCCTCGTGCAGCAGTGTGCACAGGAGCGCTCACGGCAGCTTGCCACGGAGGGAGAGCTTGCCAGGAGCCCAGATGTCTCTGGACAGGCGATCTCTTCACCTTGGTTTTGCTCTTGCAACCCTACTGTCTTAATTGCTGTGGCTCTGGGGTGCGTTTCCTTGTGTGTGAAGGCAAGTTCTTGTACATTACTCTTTTTGGAGATTTTATGGGCTGTTCTTATGCACTTGCTCTTCCAGACGATCCTTGGGTCAGCTCACTAAGTTTCAGAACACATACAGTGAAGCCTTTTGGAATTTTGATTGGCTTTGCATTGAACGTGAAGATTTTTTTAACATTTTTTATTGATTTATAATCATTTTACAATGTTGTGTCAAATTCCAGTGTTCAGCACAATTTTTCAGTCATTCATGGACATATACACACTCATTGTCACATTTTTTTCTCTGTGATTTATCATAACATTTTGTGTATATTTCCCTGTGCTATACAGTGTAATCTTGTTTATCTATTCTACAATTTTGAAATCCCAGTCTATCCCTTCCCACCCTCTACCCCCCTGGTAACCACAAGTCTGTATTCTCTGTCCATGAGTCTTTAGATTCCACATATGAGCGATCTCATATGGTATTTTTCTTTCTCTTTCTGGCTTACTTCACTTAGAATGACATTCTCTAGGAGCATCCATGTTGCTGTAAATGGCGTTATGTTGTCGGTTTTTATGGCTGAGTAGTATAAGATTTTTTTTTTAATTGATGAACTTGAGCATTTTTGTAGGCGATGGTGACGGCGTTGTGATTTTGAGTCTTAGCTCTACTGATACATCGTTTGTGTCTTCTTGCTTTTGTGGCCTAACTATCTCTTTGCTCATTGTTCCTCTTTCACTGTCACCATCCTAGCCACCACGACCTCTGCACTGGGCTTCGTAAGTAGCCCATGAAGTGGTCTCCTTGTGCCCACTGGCCTCCCAATCTGTTTTGCACGCTGTGGTCAAGGCTTTGCATTAGCTGTTCCTGGGTTAGAATTTTCCCGCTCCAGCCCCCTCGTCACTCAGTTAATTCTTCCTCATCTGTAGGTCTTACTTCAGTTGTCACGTCCCCAAGGAACCCTTCCCAAGTAGGTAAACCTTTCCACTTAGGATTCATTGCCCTCCTTACCTCTTCTAAGCACTTGGTCCGGTTGTAAGTTTACACTTGCTGCTTCCTAGGAGCAGAGAGTGAGTCCTCTGAGCAGGGGGGGCTTTGTAATTCCCGTACCCCTGGCCTAGTGCCCGCCCGGAGGACGTGCTCCTTGAATGCTTGTTCATGTCGGTGAGCTTGGTGTTTTCCTCTGTTTCTTTACGTCTTTATGTAAAACCCTGTGGTTTTCTGCGTATGGTATTGTGCATTTCTTATTAAGCTTGTGCCTCTAATATTTTCTGTTTATGCTTTTGTCAGTAGAGAAAAACTATTGGTTTTTGACTCTTGTGTCTGCCATCTTGCCAAGCACAGAACCCTGGTTCCTGCCTGTCTCCTGGTACTTCCTGCCTCCCCCTGCTGGCCTTGTCCTCAGGCTGGTCAGTTGCTGGGTGACGGCAGCAGCTCCAGCCTCACATCTGACCCTAGCAACCTTCAAAGGAAGCAAAAGAGGGTGGCCTCCAAAGGATTACCCAGCAGCAGCGAGGAGCCTCCTCAGAGCCCCCAGCTAACTTGCCCTGCCTGCTCAGTGGCTCAACTAGGGTCCCAGGGCCACTGGTGAGGGCGTGCCTTAGCTCTGCACCTGCCAGCCAGCCCTGACTTTGCAGTGGTGTGAGTGGGGTCAGCTTCCCCTGGGCGGCTGGGGGAGGTGTGGTCACTGTGCACAGCCAGGATTCTTCTAGAGAGGTGGAAGGGGGAATGGGCCCTGGGTGGAAGTCTACACCGAACGTCTGTGAGAATGGTCCTGTGGCTTTTCCCATCGACCCCTTCAACACCTTAATAAAGTTACAGGGGTTCCTGGTGTGGGACCATCCTTTCATTCCTGGAGTGAATTCGACTCACGTCTCCTAGTCTGTGGACACCCAGCTGTGTTGTGATCGGCTAAGATTTTATTTTGGGCCTTTTTGTCTGTGAGATTTGTCTGTGTTTCAAGAAGCCCTTTTAGTAATGGGGGTTAAAGGAGCGGGGAGACTCTGGGATAGGAAGGTCACTTAGTTCCTGTGCCACCACGGCCGAGTCACCTAACTTCTCTGAGGTGGTTCCTCCTCCACTCATTAGGGTCACAGCCCTAATTAGCTCGAGCTGTTTTGAGGATCGAATGATATACATGGAAGCTCCTTTTGCGCACTAAAGCTCACACCGAGTCAGTACTTTGTCTCAGACTACAGATTTCAGATACCATTTTTGTGGTTTCTTTCATGATGAGAGAGGCGCAGAGAACATTAACGGCCGAGGTGTCTGTCGGCTTTCTTCATAAACAATAATCAGAAAGCCAGGCTTGCGTGGCAGGAGAGGCCCCGGGAAGACGACTGGTAAACACGGCGTTATTGCTGTTCGGATATGAGGTTCCTGCTTTTCATAATATCCTTAGGGAGCGGGGCAGATCTGATGCTTTCTGAGATTGCTGTAAAATGCAGGCTATTGCCCGCGCCGGCACCCAGTTACGCTGCACTCACCTTACTGAGACTGCTGTAATTGGAGACAGATTAGGTGTCAGGACTGTGTGTTTGGTTGATAATGTTACCGACGTCTTCTCTTTAATCACTTCTTTTACTCCTAGTGTTAATCATTAGCTCTGAGCTGTTGGGGGAGGAACCTGACGGTGGATCCCTAACTTGAAGACAAAATTACTTCCATTTCCTGGGGATGACTGAGTGTCACATACCTACACACTGGAGTGGGTTCTCTAGCCATTCAGGGCGTGTGATGGAGACATGTGGGGAGACCCAGAAGGTCTCAGGGGCCCTGGTCCTTGCCCCCCAAGTGTGGCCCAGGCCCTGTCACCCCCGTCCAGGCCCCCCGTCCCTGGCCAATCCTGCCCTCCGTGACCCTCCCACGGTTTGTAGGTTTGTAGGCAGCGGTGACTTGTACACGTTGGTGTGCACTGAACCTTCACTGTCCTCGGTGTGTGTACTGTGGCTGCATCCTTAATCAGCGCTGTGCAGACAAGCGCACCCCCACGAGAGCGGGTGCTGCTCAGGACCAAGCCTGAGAGAGGCCCCTCCCTCCTTAATCAGCGAGCGAGCGGTGGCGGGATGACAGGAAGGAAACGCGTTAAGGGGTTAAGCTGGGGGAGAGGGCGCGCGGGAGAGACAGAAGGAAGTGGCTGGGGAGAAAGGAGAGATGAAGGGGCCTCCCCTGTCCCAGGGGCTCTGGGACACTTGGGTGCATTTGGTGAACAAGTGCCAAGACTTAAGTAGCTTTGTCTGAATAGAGCGGTCGCTTCACTCCTCTCCTCTATTGAGAACAATCCGTACCTGAAATTGTTACCACTTAGGTTCATTCTGCTTTCATTTCTGGGGCTCCTTGTCCCCTAGTATCCCTGGGGGAGGATGTTACAACACTGGGAGGGTTTACTCACTGTTTGTAAACCCTGTTTTTCCGTCTCTTTTCTGTCCACAGAAGAATTGCGGAGGTTGAGCTGGTCCGGAATCCCGAAGCCGGTGCGCCCCATCACGTGGAAGCTGCTCTCAGTAAGTCTCCCCAGGCCTGCTGCCAGGCGCCGCTTCCTCCCGTGAGGCCAGCTCCCGGGGTCGGCCGGGCTGCGGGCTCCGCGGCCCGGGCACGTGCCCGGTCTCTGTCGCAGCGAGCGGGGCCTGAGCTGGGGCTAGGATGGCATTTCCCGTCCTTTGCTCAATTTCAAGCTTGGTTTGACAAGGCTGGCAGCAAAGGAGAATAAGTATAGTTTATGACAGCTGTGTTCTTTTTCTCTCATTCTGCTATTTTAAAAATCTTTGTAATATTTCTGAACCTGAGACATAGAAAAGTTCCAGCATAGATTATTTCAGCCCTGAGGATTCAAGCAGGGAAATATTTTTGACCAGCAAGTTTTTTTTTTTTAATTTTTACTTTTTAAAAATACTAGTAATGATGTTAGGGGAAAAAGAAGTCGTTTGTGTTTCTGTGATGGAGGCTGGAGCTGTGTCTTCCTCACGGCTGGGACCGGAGACTCCTGGGGAAGGTGCTTCGCCCGAGTTCATGTCAGAAGGGAGCTTGGCCCTGCTGAACACTTCAGAATGGTTTAGAGACAGCTTTTGTCCCTTCTCTTTTTTTAAAAAAAATATTTTTGCAGCCAAGTCAGCAGGGAACCCTGCGTGTTTACTCTAAATTGGGCCTGACTTCCAGTATTTAAAAGGCTCTTTCTTGCTAATGAGTCTGGATAAATGTGCAGCTTAGTACCTCATAGCCCCCCGTGCAGATGCAGCTCCGAACAGTGGATATTTATGGATGAAACATCCTCTTGCAATTAAAATTAGACCTGTGGTGACTGCTTATGTTTTTGTTCGGTGTCTTCTGTGTCAAGCGTTTATATCCAGTTTTCCAGACGTCCTCCAAGATAGGTCACGGGCTTTTCCGAGGGGCTTGCAGGAAGTTGTGGGGAGAGCACCTTTAAGACCCCGTGTTGCAGGTTCGCATATACTAGGGACGTGCTGCATCTGGTGGAAAGCCTCATGTGAGTCATTTCGTCCTGTTCCTTCCTTAGTTCTCCGTCTCTGTGGGTCCTGGTTTAGATCCCCTGACGTGCTGCCCAGTGAGTGACTTGGGAAAGGGCCTCCTGGGAGTCTGCGGACACAGGAGCAAAAGGGGGGGTGACAGAGGCTCCACTTCACTGGTTTGCGGGGGAGGGGGTCGAGTCTGTAACCAGGAATGCTGGGAGTGCAGGTGACAGGAAGTCCGGCCTTCTCAGGCTTGTTTACCCATTTAACTGCCACTAATTACAGGGCCCTTTGCCCGGTGGTGGGGTGCGGTAGACACTGGCCCACCTCTGGGGGTGCGGCAGGGTCTGGGGGCCACGTGCTGTGGGACGTTCGGGACGCAGGCGGGCCCTGTGGGTGAGAGGGGGGCACGTGTCTGGGGGAGGAGGCTTTGCTCCGGGTCTGCAGGTGGTGGCTGGTGGGCGGGAGGGGAGGAGGGGCAGTTCTGACTCCTAGGCTTGTGTTGATGGATAAGCAAGAAAAAAGTGTTGGGATCAGTGAGCAGAGCCTGTCCTTCCAAAGGGTGGGGCACCAAAAAGGGGTGGCCGTCCCCGGGCGGTGCAGACGTGCAGAATGGCGGGCAGGGCTTCCTGGAGACGGTGGGATGCCTTCTCGGAGGCTGTGTCCGTGTTCCCTGGGTCAGGCAGGTGGGGAGGTCACGTGACCCGTGGAGGGGGCAGTGGGGGTGTAGGGCCGGCAGGGGTCGAGGCCGAGGTGAGCTGGCTCCCCAGGAACCAGCAGGCTGACCACTTGGCTGAGGAGGGAATGAGGAGCCTGGGGTCGCTGGGTTGGGGGAGGCCAGGTGCTCAGGGGCCAGGGGCACATTGCTTGGGCTGCACCCTGAGGGAGCAACGTGAGGGAGAGATGAGGCTGTGCTTCTGGGAGACTCAGGCCTGGAGCCCGTTGCAAGGGCCATTGGTTGGTTCATCCATTCATCAGATCAGTACTTACTGGGCGCTTTCTGTGTCTCAGGCACCGTTGGTGCTGGGAGGTAGCAGGGAAGGCAGAAACGACGCAGTGCCTGTCCCTCATGGGGCCTGCAGAAAAGGATGGAGTCCCTGCTCTCCTCTGACGCCCCCAGGACAGGGCTGGGTCTTGCCACTCGGAAGCAGTCCATCCTCTCAATCCTCTCAGGAGTCTGTGTCCCCAGTGCACTGCTCACGCCAGGTCTCTTCCTTCGCTTTTTTGCTTGTCATATAAGCATTTATTGAGTGCTTGCTGTGTGCAGACTGTGCCCATGCAAGAGGATCCATGGACGCGGTGGTCTGAGTGCAGAGTGCGCGAGCAGGCAGTCAGTTAGGGTAGTTCCTGACTGTGCTGGAGGAGGAAGAGGTGCTGGGTGTGAGGGGGCTGCTCCCGAGTGCCCCTTGGGAGGGGCTAGAGCCGGGGCGTGGAGAACAGGGAGGGAGGAGCGGCCGGGGCTGCAGGTGTGGGCGGCACTCAGCAGCTGGAGGAGGAAGCCAGCCTGGGTGCCGTGGACCTGTGCTCCCTGGCCGCCCCGCTCTGGGCCCACGCAGGCCGGCAGTGACGCTTTGGGGGTACGGCCGGGCTCTGGGCGTCCAGGGGAGGGAACCCAGCTGGTTGAGGGGTGCTAGTCACATGTGATGGTCGGAGGGCGGGACCGTGGGGCCGCCGCCTCTGGCCCCGTCAGCACCAGCCAGGAGCGCGCTCACCCGCCTCTCTGCTCGTCCTCTGGTTGCTCCCTGGCGTGGCCTAAGCACGTGATGGGAGGTTTCGCGCGCACAGCGAATGATGTTCCTCCCGCATCCCTGATTCTGCAGGTGTTTCTCACGCGTCTGTCCTTGGCTGGACCCTTTGCAAGTGCCAGGCCTGAGGGTATCGTGGAGAATGGTGGGGAGGAAGCCCTGTGGGCTCTTTGGGACATGAGGGGTGTGGACAGGGGTCTCTGAATCTGAGGCCCGCGCACCCCTCTCCCTGGGAAGCTTCTGCAGACCCTGACTTCCAGGCTCCGGAAGTGGACCCGGGTCGGGTGGCCTGAGCCATCGGGGTTTGTGCCACTGCGGCACACTGTGACCCAGGGTCTGCAGAGCCCCTGCCCCAGGCCCGGTAGGGGTCAAGGGAGCAGCACAGATGAGGGCCCCCTCCTGCCCTGTGGTTTTTCATCCTGGGTCCACATTTGTGTCACCTGGGGAGCTGAGGTTCCCTGGGGGTTCTCACACGTGCCCAGGGTTGGGGACCGCTGCCCTAGGACACCCAGGCCCCACGTGGGACAGGGCAGGGCTCTGAAGGCAGCACCCCTGGGCTGAGTGCCCGGGCAGGGGAGCCGCTGGGCCTGATTCACCGAGAGCACGCTGTCCAGGGGCTCGGCTGTGGGGCCGGAGGGCGGGATGTCCCAGCTCACTCTGCGCCTGGGCTCCGGAGCCTCAGCGTGGAACCCGAGATCGGGAGGAATTTACCCTTTGTCCACTTTGAAAAGACAAGCCAGCACAGCTGCACTTGGGCGGGAGTCTCTTTCAAGACCTGGCCGACAAGAGCTGTGCTCAGGGTTTGTCGGTAACGCAGTCCCTGAGGCTCGTCGATGAGCTCTGTCTGAACTGACGGGAGGAGGTGCTCCTGTCGTGAAGGAAGGTGAGGACCTTGGCTCTTGTAACTGAGGGAGAACGAGCCCGGACTCTAGTCTAGCACTTACCGTTAAACTCCATTAACGCTGCTGAACGCCGAAGTTCCACGCAAGCAGTGCAGCGACTTTTAAGAATTAGTGCTGCAGAGTACCATATTTTTGGCTCTTTTTAAAAGTAACTGTTCAGAGACATCGACCAGAGACCCAGTAAACATCCGATGTTTGTGCGAGTCAGCAGAATGGTTAAAAACGGTAAGTTGGCTCTGGTGTCGTCTCTCCTGTGTTGGGGCGGGTTGCACGTGAACCCGGGAGGAGGGAGTGACGCGATGTTTGTGTCGCCGGGAATTTCGGTACAGGCCTTCTCACGCACTGTGTTACGTTTATGATTAGTGTTTTTATAGCATGCTAATACAGCAATTAGGTTTTCTGTGGTTCTGTCATTTAAAATTCATTGCATACGTGAGTATGTTTCATTTGCATAATTCCCAGTCTCACTGAATTGTCTGGAGACCTCGACTTGCGTGTGTGTTTCCCTTTAGGGATGGGGGCGTCAGGAGGACGTGGGGGCTCTTCCCACTTTGACACACCTGCTTTCAGGGCTTCCTTTTCAGTACGTCAGTTAATTAGGGGTGGCGAGAATCTGGGTACTTGTTCACCTTCACTAAGAATCTGCTGGCGGTGCCGCAGGGGGTCTGCATGAGGCTGTCCACACCTGCCCCGGCTTACACCTCGTGGCGGCCCACAGCCCTGGCCCGGCGCGCAGGGCCTGCTGCCCCGGCTGCTGCCGACCTGTCCACGCCACTCCTCTGCCAAGGCTTGCTCAGGCCAGCCTGGACGCATGTCCCTGCGTGCTCCACATGGCTCTGCCACTTTCTCAGTGCATCTGTGTCTCTCTCCCTCCTCCTCCATCGCCCATCAGACCCAGCCCAGAACAGTATGCAAGCTAGTCCTTCTTGGTCACCAGTTAGCGCAGACCTGTCCCCCTGGCCTCCCAGGGCAGGGCCCTCCCTGGGGTGTGACAGTGTCATTGCACATCTGCTGACATCCATTCACTCACCAAGTATCTGCAGAGCATCTGTTGTGTCTAGACACTGCTCTGAGCCCTTGGCAGGCGTCTGTGGACAGAAGAGGTGAAGACGCCTGCCCTGATGGGGCTTGTATTTTAGTGGAGGGAGATGAGCAGTAAACTGTGTAAGTCAACTTTCCAGTGTCTTAGAAGGTGCTAGTGCCGCAGAAGGAACATGAACACGGAAGCAGGAGGTCTGAGGACGAGGGTGGTGCCGGGGCGGCGGCCTCTGAGCAGCGAGTTGGGGAGGGGAGGGGCTGGGCCATGCAGGCGTCCGGGGAGGCGAGTTCAGTTTCATCCAGTCTTTGGGGAGGAATGTGTTGATTCCAGTACTGTGTGTCCTGTGGGATGTGGTGCGGGCCAGACGGCCCTGGGGAAGGGAGTGGAGCCCTGACGCTGGAGGGTGATCACCAGTAACAAGAAGGGCCCCTTGGCCCTGCTGCACAGAGGAGAGTGGGCGCCGGGCAGCAGAGGAGAGTGGGCGCTGGGCAGTGGACGCCCCTGAGGGAGGCTCAGACCCGAGGAGCAGGAGGCGGCCGTGCAGGGGTGGAGATGAGGGCTGGCCCGCCTGGGCATCTGGTCCAGCGAGGGAAGATGCTTAGCCTCGTCAGTCATTTGGGAAGTGACCTTAAATCCGCTGGACAGAATGGCTGAAATCTAGATTGACAATACAGAGCGTTAGGGAGCAGGTGGGAGGGGCATCAGCGACCCGGGATGGGGGAGGGCAGCGGCCCCGCTTCTCCTGGCCGGGAGGATGGGGCTGGACCGCAGAGGGCCCTGGGGACTGCTGTGGGGCGATGGGGCGCTCTGATTGTCCCCTTTGCCCGATGTCCCAGAACTGCTTACTCAGAAGAGGCCCCTTTTGTTTTATGTATGATCTGGCAGTGCTGTTGACTTAAAAGTACAAAATACAAGACGGGAGTCTGGCCTCTTCACGGCCACCCTGTGCTGCCAGACCCCTTCTGGATGTGTCTCTTTAGGTGTGGGGCCTGTGGCTGCCAAAAGCACAGCAGTGCCTGGAGGGAAGGGGCGTACGGACGTCTGGGTGTGTACACACGTGTGCATACGTGTGCATGTGGTCTGCATGGACGCTAACGCCTGTGTGCGCACATGCTCAGTGGTCGTGGGGCCTGCAGACTTCGGGCTCTCAGTGGTGAGGCGGTTAGAGGAGGCTGGTTCTGCCTGTCAGCCGTGCTTTAGAAACGCGTTCAACACCAGCTGCCCCGGCCCCCACCGCGTCTGGCCTGGCCGCAGGGGAAGGTTGGTCTCCTGGGCTGAGCCGCCATGCCTGAGCCCAGCCTCATGTCCTGCTGCCAGCGGGGAGAGGGGTGCCCGCTGCTGTGCTCAGCTGCCGCCTCCCTGTGTCCCTTTCTTTTCTCGCAGCTCGTTTTTCCTCCCCTGGGTGAGATTTCAGAGCGCCACGCTCGTTTAAGGTGTGAGCTTTTTAACTTCAGACTTCCAGTAGAGACTCCATGGATCACCATTAACCTTAGTACTTTGTTTTGTTTTTGTTGATTGATTGAAGTATAGTCGGTTACAATGTGTCAGTTTCCGATGTACAGCACAATGTCCCAGTCATGCGTATACACACATGTATGTCTTTGTTGTTTTTTTCTCACCCAGGGTTACCTTCCTGCCAACGTTGACCGAAGACCAGCCACTCTCCAAAGAAAACAGAAAGAGTATTTTGCCTTTATTGATCACTATTACGACTCTCGGAATGACGAAGTTCACCAGGACACCTACAGACAGGTGGGGCCGCCCTTTCCGTCTTGTGTTACTTGCAGTGCTCTGACTTGGTGAGGTCTTGCTGAGGGAAACCAGATCTTTATTTTCTGATAAAGAAGTAAATTTGAAAGCGAATAGCGGTGAGTTTCTTCTGATAGTGGGACCTTGTTTACCTCCAGTTCCTTCTGCCGAAGGGGAAAGGGCGTGTTTAACGAGAGGCACGCAGCTGACAGCCGAGACCCAGGCAGAGCGCCGGGATCTGCATCCCCGGTGGGGACATGCCTTGCGGCTCATGAGCTGCTGTCTGCCCGGAAGGTCGGGAGCAGACGGTGTCTGGATCGGGTCAGACGAGTGACCCCACTGGGCCCCGTGGGCACTGTCCCCCGCTGCAGTTAGGGACGGGATGTCGGCACAGGAGAGCTGTGCTGGCCGGCTGGGCCCCAGGGAGACGCGGTTCAGTTCATAGGAGAAGTGTAGCCAGCTTATAATCTTGCTTTTTAGTTGAATACAAAATGGATGTAATTATGGCCTTGAATGGTCCGTTGACAGTCCGTGTGCGTAATGGGAAAAATACTTAAAGCTGATTTACAGCTCACAGTGCGCCCAGGACTTGCCGTTAGAACGGCTCAAGCCTTCGTGATTCCCACTGTCTTCGTAACATGTGAGGAGTGAGAATGGCTTGTGCTGCAGTTTAGCAAAGCGCTCGGTGTTCACTGGTAGCACCGCCTCATTTTTCTAAAATGAACTTCTGGTTTTCCTGAGACTGGTCAGTGTTTCCTTTTGGAAACCCCCCTCTAGGTGAAGGAGATTTGCCAGATTTTTCTACCTCAGATGTGAGTGAGCCACCTCTCTCTGCCAGTTTAGTACATGCTGTGAAAAAGGGCCAAAGACGGGCCTTCCCTCTGATTGATCATCTGGGGTTCCTTAAGTTCCACGGGCTCTTGGGAAGCCCCTTCCCAACACGGGTGCCGCGGGAGCTCTGGGGGAGGAGTGTCTGGCTTAGGCGTGAGGAGCAGGCAGATGGGGCCGCGGGCCCCTCCGCCTCTGCCCATGCTCCCTCCGCTGGACTTGGCCTCCGTCTCACACCTGGCGGCTCCCGGGCCACACGGAACTGCCACCTGTCACCCTGGGAAACTGACTTGAGACAGATCGCACTTGCATTTGGTTGGGGAAGTGTTAGCTCCCCTGGTTTACCTTCTCACCTCACTGGTTTTCAGGGGTGGGTAAACTTTGGATTGTTTTGAATGTGTTTTTGATGTGTTTTTATTCAAGAAAAAGACGTCCAAAGGCTGACAGAAGCATCTATCTGCAAGATTTACCAAGCTGCATTCTAGTATGAATTTCTTAAGGGAAAGTTAATTAAAAACGGGCTGCATACATCTTTATTTGGTTACTGTGATAGGTAACAAAAAGCTCCCATATTATTGTGAATTCCCCAAATGTTCCTACATTAATATAACTGAGAAAAATGGAAGCCATGGTGGTGTTTCCACGGGCCCGCTTGCTTTGTGCGGAGCACACGTGCCCCCTGGACGTGGACCCTGTGCGGTCCAGCCGCAGCCGATCCAGGCTCACCGTTAGGTCAGAGTGGACTGGCCTGGGTGTGGGGCTGGGGCACCCTGGTCTCTCCCCACTGCCCACTCGCGATGTTTGACCCATAGACAGACCTTGGCCTACCATCACCCCGAGGGGTGTGGCCCGGCCCTCCCACAGCACTGGGGGCCGCCTCCCCCATACCTCTCTTGTCCTCTCTTCCTTTGGGTTTTGTGTTTCCTCTTTGGATGAAAATGCCGTGTCCAAAGCACACAGTCAGTCAGAGCTACAGATTCATCTGGGGTGTCCTCCCTGCTCTGCGGGTTCTGCAGATGTCGTGGCCGTCCTGACTTGCCCGGTCCTGGGCTTGAGGGCGGGCAGGTGGTCTGGAGGGTGCCACGAGCACCCTCTGTCAGATGGGCTGTGCTGGCCCCTGGCTTGCCCAGGGCAGACGTGCGCCCATGTGACTGTCATTGCGTGGGAACGCTGAGCTGAGCGTGGCCCTGGAGGACGCCCTGGTGAAGGGGGTGAGGTCGGGGGGTTCTGAGCTCCTGCAGGTGGCCTGCTGCAGTCTTCTGACCCCACCAGGCTGGAACGCTCCCTCCCCTTGTCCTCCAGGTCTCCTTCACACGTCAGCGCCGCCTGCCCGGCTCAGCGCTTGCCTCCTTGCGCAGAGAGGGTGAGGACGGTTGTCTCTGGCGCTCCTTCAGTGTCCTCTCTTCACCGCTCTGACTTTCCTCTCCACTTGCTTTCATTGCTGCCTCGCGGTCCCTGTTCCTTGAACACTTCAGTCTGCGGGCTCCTCATCCAGAGCAGGCCCATGTCCTCCCTTAGTACCACTGAGGGGCTGCTGACCCCCAGGTCACACAGCCGGCACCTGATGGACGAGCGTGCTGGGCCCCAGGGCCAGCCATGTGCTGGGGCCGCAGGCTAGCGGGGCCGCGAGGAGGCCCTCAGGCCTCGGGGGTGTCGGAGCTCTTGTGTCATGAGCAAGGACTGGGTGACAGTCTGGACTGTGGGCCCCCCACGGCACTGAAACGTGCCTGTCTCCCCAGCCTGTGCGGGCCGTGCTCCAGGTGAACGGGGACAGTGCCAGCGCTGGCGGGGCGGGCTGTTCGTGTGGGACACCAGTGCTGGTCCCGCGTGTTCTGCCCTGGTTGCCTCCTGAACCTGCGGTTGTGGGGGTCAGGCGGGGATCAGCTGATTCTTCCAGAGGTTTGGAAATGCTTCCTTTGAAAAGCATCCAGGATTCCCCAAGGGCTTTGTAAAGTGGAGAAAAACGTGGTCTGGGCGCCAGGACGAAGCTGTCAACAGCGGAAACCTTGTACTATTGATGGACTTGAATTGCTCCCCGCGTCCGAGGCTGGAAATCAATGTTTACTAATTGCTATGGATTATGTTCCTAAGTAGCCGAGGACCCGCTCCATTCCCCATCATGCAACGGCTGCTGTTGGCTGGGACGCTCAGCCCAGCCTGTCCTGCTGGGACTGGGCCCCTCAGGTGGAGCCTGCCTTCTCCCCCCCAGTGCACGGGCAGCCTAGAGGCCAGTGTGTCCAGAGAGCAGGTTCGGATCCGGAGGAAACCCCTTGTGGTTACTAAGTTCTGCTCTTGTCATCTTAGTGCTTGTGGTGATGTTCACCGTCTTTTAAAATCCATGTGTCTTTCTCCCCATCTGCAGATCCACATAGACATCCCTCGAATGAGCCCCGAAGCGTTGATCCTTCAGCCCAAAGTGACGGAGGTAAGAGCGGGGTCCGCACGCTGTTGTGGAGGGCGCGTCCCTTCGTGGGGGAGGTCGGCACCCACGGTCCTGGCGGCTTTCCCCGCGGCAAGTGGGGTGGCCCCTGGGTACGTCAGCGCCCCTAGGAATCACTGGTGTTCTTCAGCCGTTGTGACAGTGCTGTGTGGTGTGCTGTGTGTGTGGGGGACACTCACGGGTCCGCCCAGGCTGGGACCGAGAACCCGCTCAGTCTGACCGGCAGTGTTGAGGCCGCCCGGGTTCTCCAGGCCCGTCCCTGGAGGCTGGCCGCTCTCCTGACTCAGGTTTGTGGCTCTTCACGCCTCTAATGTGTGTCCCGGGCTGCGGGGAAAGCAGTGTTCCGGACCTGGGTGGCTCCCTGGTTGGTCTGGTCCCTTTTTTCCATCTACGTTGTTTTCTAAGACTCGGCCACCCAGTGTGTCCAGCTGGTATTTACATGCCCCCACTTCTGTGCCTTCTTCCAGCCGGTGGGCACTCGGGCGGGTTCCACATTTTGCTGTGAGGAACGGGGTTGCCTGCAACCTTCGTGTGCATTTCTGCAGGGCCCACGGGAAGAGCTCCTCAGGAGTGTTGACGAAGAAGTGAGGTTTTTGTTGCTTGCGTGTCGGCCTGTTAACCTTGCCAGGTGATGTCCACACGCTTTCCAGGTGTGCTGTCCCCACTCAGCCTTGGTCTGCGGGATCCGAGGGGCCCTGGTGCCCCACCCCTGGGGCTTTGTGCTGCGAGGCTTCTCGAGTTTTGTCCTTCTGGTGGCACTGTCGTTGTCCTTTCTCCGATCACAGTGGAGCAGGCGTCTCTCCGGGTATTTGTGTCCGTCTGCGCTGCTTCTGGGAAATGCTCGCTCCTGTCTCTGCCCGCTGTCCTCGTGGGCGGTTGGTCTGAGCACGTTAGGGAGTCTGGCGCTCCGCAGTTCGTATGTGGCTTGTTTCAGATGCTGTCTTCCTGGCGGCTGTTGTAGTGTGGTTGAGCTTGTCCATCTGTCCTGCAGGGTTAGCGTTCCTTGGGAGACCCTCCCCTCCCCACGCATCATAGAGCCGTTCTCCCTCGCTCATGTCCGTCACAGGGCCCGGGCGTCTCACTGTTCGCCCTGCTTTAACTCCTCTGTGCCCATGGCCGTGAGGCGGGGCTGCAGCGTGCCTGTCTCACGCGGCAGCCCTTCCAGCGCCGTGCTCGGGCCCCGTCGCCCCCCGCGTCTGCCGTGGCCCCTCTCTCCACGTCCTCTTCCTGCTTGCAGAGCTCTGTGCTGCGTGTTGTCTCGGTGTTTGGGAGGGGAGCCTGCATGCCCTCTTCCTCATCTGAAGCCATCAGATCGTCCTTGAACCTTGCTCTCCCATGGAGGTCTCAGGGCCGAGGTTTTCGCCCCGACTCTGCGTTGAAGCACGGCTGCTGTACAGGGTTGCGCACGTTGCAGGTGGGCAGCGAGGCGGCTCACAGCTTGCGAAGGCTGTGCTCCGCGTGGTCATGAAGCCCTGGCTGTGCTCCCTGTGCTGTGCAGCGTGTCCCTGTGGCTTGTTTTACACCCAGCACTTCGTACCCCTCCGTCCCCTCCCCCGTCCTGCTCCTCCCCTCCTCCCCACTGGTGACCACTAGTTTGCTCCCTAGATTGTGAGTCTGCTGCTTTTTTGTGATCTTCACTAGTTTCTTGTATTTTTTAGATTCCACTTTTGTTTGTTTTTAATGTCTGTTTGATTTATGGTTGGAATTGCACAGAATCTGTAGATCAATTTGGGAGAATTAACATCTTTATGAAATTTAGTCTTCATTTCCATGAACATGCTAATGCCCCATTTTTTTTGGCCATTCTTTAATGCCTTTCAATGAAGTTTTAAAATTTGCTCTGTAAAAGGTTTTGTGTATGTTTTATTAGGTTTATTCTTCGTTATCATATTTTTTGTTGCTATTACAAATGGTATCTCTTTAAAATTGAATTTTTTTTTAGTGTTTGAAATATTTGTTTTGCATCTCGATTGCTCCAGGAAATGCACTTTTAAACTCTTATATCTCTTGTCTGTTTAGTAAGTTTGTAAAAAAAAAAAGTCCAGGGTTATTAAAGCAAAAGCACTTTTAGGTTATAGAACACAAAAGGAGAAAATTAGATTTCCACCGAAGTTGTCGTTTTGAGGTACTTCTGTCTGATTGTTCTTTTCAACCAGCTGCGCTTATTGTGTTTGGAAAACAGGAGACGACATATTATAACCTTGTTTTGAGTTACTTTTAGTGGGAGTAGAGTCCGCCACGTGACCTCCAGGTCACCTTCGCTTGTATGTTTTCCTGCCGCTTTACCCACTCTTTGTGGGGCTGAGCTCGCGGGCCCCCTGGTTTCAGAGTGGGGTCCAGCCACTGCTGGTCTGCCTGTCTGTGACGTGCGGGGACCACCAGCCTGTTGTTGGAAGTGGCTCTGCCCGGCAGCGGGTTTCCCGCAGCGTGGTCCTGCCTTCTGCTCTCCTAGGGCAGGTTGTGTGAGTTTGAGGGGAGGGGTGGGAGGAGAACGAAGTGACAGACAGGGGGCTTTAGGAAGAGCCTGGGTGTGGGTCTCGTGTTAGCCAACAGGCAAAGTCAGGCTGTGGTTTCTGGCTCCGTGGGAGTGAGGCTTGGATGTACGGCAGCTGACAGCAGGGCCATGACAGCAGTGGCTTCATGCCGGGCGGGAGCTCACCGCCCTCTTAGGCACGCATCGTCCGCTGCCCCTCCGTGTTCACTCGCTTCACGGTCCAGGCTGGCTGCTCTGGCTCCCTGCATCACGTCGGCATTCCACCAGCAGGCAGAGGGAGACGTGGAGGGGAGGGCGCGCCCCTCCCTTCAGAGGTGTTTGAGGGAAGTTGCTCATGGCACTTCTGCTCACCCCGTGCGTGCTTGCACCTGGCTGCGCAGAACCAGGACGTGCACCTCTGACTTTAGCTGGCCGTGTGCTGCACTGAAGCTGGGCTTGATGACTCCGGAAGGAGGGTCATCTTCTGCCCTAAGGTTCCCCATCTGTCCGCACCGCCGCTTACCCGTTCAGCGGGTGTTGCCCGCTTCTGCTCTGGCGCTTCTCCCCCGCCCTCCCTTTCTCTCTCCCTCCCCCCCTTCCCCTGTCAGCTCTGTTGAGAGATGATTGACATGCACCGAGATTCACCTGCGTTAGGCGTACAGGCAGGTTAGTTCTGACGCCTGTGTCTAGGACGGTAACAGCCACTTGAGTCACAACGTGGAGCACTCCCTCACCCTGGAACGCCCCTCTTGCCCCTTGCTGCCATCTCCCGTCCCCGCCCCCTGCCCTGGCTACTGCTGGTCTGCTCTCTGCCTCAGTGCTTCGCTTTTAAGAATTTCACAGGCCTGGAATGGCAGGAATTGCAGGGACTAGGGAGGAGCTCCCTCGCCTGGGTAGCGGTGCGCGTTCACCGCCCCGTGAGCCGGCCGTCTTCCTGGGGAGCTCTGCCGCCTTGCCAGGGGGTGGGTGCTGGCCGCGTTCCATTTCCAGGCCACTACAAAATGCGTTTGCTGAGCACCAACACCTTCACTCCTAAGTCCAGGAGAGGCCTCTGTGTCCCCCTCTGGTGAGTGCCTAGGAGGGGAGCTACTGGGTGGTGTGGTAGTGTGTGTTTATGTACCTAACTTCTAGACTCTTGTCCAAGGAGGCTGGGCCAGTTCACACCCCCAGCCGTGACTGAGGGTCCTGGTTGCTCCACATCGTTGTCGGTTTGTGGCATTGCCAGTCTTAATTTCAGCTATTTTTTGAAACAGGCGTGTGGTGGTGTTTCCCAGGGTTGTAACTTGCTTTTCCCTGCTGGCTGCTGACGGTCGGCGTCCTTTCCCATGCTGGTCTGTCATGCACAGGTCCCTTCGGTGAAGGGTCTTTCCCATTTTTTGCTCTTTAATTGCTTTTGAAACCTTTAGCCTGCCTGTTCCCTGGCCTCTCTTAGGCCTTCTGAGTCACACTTCTGGGGTGGAGCCTAGAAATCCCTATTTTAAGGAAGCACAGCTGGATCTAGCTGCCGATGGAGAGAGGGGTCTTGAAGTGAGCAAACGATGCGGGCCGGGCTGTTTGCACTCAGGAAACAGAAGCAGGCTGGAGCCAGGGCCTTTGCCCGGATGTCCCCACCCCTAGGCAGCAGGTGGGCAGTACAGGCCCCAGGAGGAGCTGGGCAGGGCCAGGCGGCTCTCCTCCCGGATTTCCCTCCTCTTAGCTGTGCTGCGAAGGTGGGACTCCCTGGGTGACTCTTCTGGGGGCTGCTCCCACCTGACCTCCCTGGGGACCTCCTGAGCTGGGGCTGCCTCTCAGCCTGCGCTCTGCTCTTCCGTCCAAGGTGCGTCTGAGCAGACCTTACGTCTGTCTGGTTTTCAGCCCTGATTCTGGTGCCCCAAGCGGTGCACGGCACAGAGCAGCTGTTCCCAGGTGCTGGCTGCATGAGCAGCTGTCTGGATTCCTCCTCTTGCCTGTGACCCCAAGTGTCTAGTTCTTCTGGGCCTCCAGAGGGATGTTGTGTTGTGGAGACGCCGTTCCTAACACCCTGGCTGGTGTGGCAGCCCCTCCCCCACTCTGATTCCCACTTGGCATGTTTCACGGAGCTTACGGCCTGATGAGGTTCGTCTTCTGTCCATGAGGCCTCACTCTTCCTGTCTGTCAGCTCCTGAGATCCCGAGGGCCCTGGGCCCCTTGACTGTCCCGGCTGCCTGGAGCCGCACAGGACATCAGAGATTTTGTTGAAATTCCTAATTAATCTTTTTATCCAACACGGTTATTTGAAAGCAAAACGCGGAACTTGCTTTCCTGCTTGCTCTTTGTATCCTCGGTCCAGCTCTGAGTAAATGCCGCCTGTTGCTTGGGAAAGTCTGGACTCTGAGCGGAGGCCCTGTGGCCCCTGCGGTGGGTGTGCTGCGCTCTTTGGAAGAGCCTTGCTCAGTGCGTGGCTGGGCCTCTTCTGCTGATAAGCTCATCATCTCTGAGTCCCTTCTTCTCCATAATTATTATATTATCTGCCCTCTGGTTATCTGCTTCTTAG